GGGTCGGGGCCCAATGCAAGCGGCAGGACCCCGAATCCCCCTGCACTTGGCAAGGCAGCCCGCAAGACCCCACGCCACCGAAGGTCTCGTGATAAGGGTCTCCCGGAGGCTGAGCGCTGCATCATCCAAGCATGGGGAACCCTCATGGGCCCAAGTTTCTCTCTGTTCCCCAACTTTCACTGTACAGCGTGAAGTGACTCAGGGTGGCTCTGAGAAGCTCCCCGTCTCCCTGATGACCTTTGCAGACCAGCGCGGCATCACGCCTGTGCGGACCCGGGACATCGTATGGCATGTCCAGAACATGGGTCCAATGGACCCGGGACGTTGCGCGGGCGAACCCTCAGCCGCCCCGGGCGGTGACATGCGATTCCGCACTGCCACCTCGCGGACACTGCTGTCTCCAAAACCACAACAGACTCGGCACCATTGAGGGGTTCTGAGGGCCCGAGGGCATTGGTACAAGACCGAGGGGGATGATCCCAAAATATTCTCACTCGGCAAAGCACCCCCAGGATCCGGTGCTTCCACAGCCTAGCGTGGTAGGTTCCCGCTTGAGCTTGGGCTCCCTGTCACTCAGGCTCCCCGTCAGGTCCTCATCACCCCGGAACACTGAGCCCCTAGATTCCCAGAACCACTTCGTCTTTCTGGCCTTGGCGACACGGGGACATAACCCTGGGGTGCGGTTGGGATTTCACTCCCAACAGCGCGTGGGCTCCAGGGCGGACCCAGACACTCTGGTCACGAAATGCACCTTCACGCACTTACCCCAGATACACTGACCCCAGATGCGCTGCAGGGACCCCGGCCACAGCACACTCAGCCCGTTGGGATCCCTGTCTTCGAGCACCCCCAGGACACTGGGTGTCTCCCGCACCCACACTGCTGGCTGAGCTGGGGCAAGCAGCAGGAGCTCTCGCAGCAGCTGAAGCCAGAGGATGAGACACGCCCACATCTTAGCATCTCAAACACCTGTGAATGGAGATGTTAATGCCTGGTCCCCCGGGGGCCTGAGGAGCCGTGTCCTCTTTTTAGAGGCCCAGACTTTGGGAGAGAAGCTGTCCTTGGTCGGGCCGTTTCACAGGACTGGATGCGCAACCCTAGCACTTGGTGACACGCGCTGCCTTTCTCATGAGTGAGAGACGCGATGTGAATCCCACCCCACAGCACTGGCTGCCTGGGAGGGGGACTCAAGGGGCTGCGAATATGGCCCTATCTGGCTTGGGGTGGCTTCAGTGAATGAGCGCCCGCCTCCTTGGTGACCCCTGTGACCACTGCAATATCAGGCCTGGGTGGACGCGAGCGTGGCATAGTTGAACCCCAGCTTCGGCAACTCGGGCAGTAACGTGTGAGTCGGGGCTGCCACCTCGCGGCCACAGCTGTATCCACATCCACAACTTATCGGCACCGTTCTGGCTGCGATCAGCTCAGGGTCGGTGCCCAATGCAAGCGGCAGGACCCCGAATCCCCCTGCACTTGGCAAGGCAGCCCGCAAGACCCCACGCCACCGAAGGTCTCGTGATAAGGGTCTCCCGGAGGCTGAGCGCTGCATCATCCAAGCATGGGGAACCCTCATGGGCCCAAGTTTCTCTCTGTTCCCCAACTTTCACTGTACAGCGTGAAGTGACTCAGGGTGGCTCTGAGAAGCTCCCCGTCTCCCTGATGACCTTTGCAGACCAGCGCGGCATCACGCCTGTGCGGACCCGGGACATTGCATGACGTACCCAGGATATGGATCCAGTGGACATGGGACATTGCGCGAGCGAACCCGGGACATGGGACCAGTGGACCCGGGACACTGCGCGAGTGACCTGGGACATTGGGCGGGCGGACCTGGGGCGTTGCGCGAGTGACCGGGACGTTGGGCGGGCGGACCCGGGACGTTGCGCGGGCGAACCCTCAGCCGCC